TATTCTTGCATTTCTTTTCTTTGAACTCAATAAACATGCATCATTGATTCCAAGTGTTGAAAGTTTGAAACTTTAAATTATCATAATACATGTATGGCATCATGAATATGAATAAAAATTCATCAAGCATACAAATACATATTTTTGGCAAGTGTCAAGTGCTTAAAAACTTCATGATGTTCAGTATGTACAAGTATTTTACTAAATCGATTTCTGTACAAATCTTTTATGGATTTCACCCAAATCACCTTTTAGAAACCACCTTTCAGCAAAAAACCACTGAGAGTAAGTTTTTAAAATTTTGTTCTTTCTCAGACAATCCACCAAAAGCACTTTTAACTAAATGGAAGTAAAAGTAAACAAACCAGAAGAATTCTATATTTAGATTACTTTCAGATTCAAATGTCAACTCCTCCTTAATGCTTGTGATAGATATATTTTAAAGCATTTCACACAAAAATTAATTAAAAAATTCAAAAAATGCAAAATACTTTCAAATTTTCATCTTAATCCTTAGGAAAAGTGGCAATTTTGATGTGTTTTAATGAGAAATATTAAAACTTTTATCTCAATAGCAAGCACAGCGAGTTTAGCAAATGCATGTAAAGCAACGGTCACACTGTGTCACAGTCTGCTTACCACAACTGCACGGACGACAATATATGCCTGAATTTTCTGGATTATAGTATTTTCATTTATACAAAACGAGATTGCCACTTTTCCTAAGGATTAAGAATAAAATTAAATTTGTGAGAGTGCAAGGATATGTCAATGAAAACAGGAAAATTTGAAACATTTCAGGTTTCCCTGTGATAGAAATAAAGTGCAACTTAAATACAACATCACACTGTGTGACAATGCCTGGGCGATAATTTGGACACATTGCTCATTGATCAAAATGAAATGACAGGAAAATTTCAGTACATTTCAGGTTTCCCTTGGTAGTGCAACTTAAATACAACATCATGTGACATCAGTCTGAGAGTCTAGACGCACCAAATGTCACTTACGGTTTGATGAGCCCGAACTGAATAAGTATCTGCCCTCGCCCTAATGGTCACACCGTCAATATACTAATTATGATCTTCAAAAATACAACATACAGATCTCGACATTACCATGACAACAGAACAGAAAATGACAGGACTTGAACACACATCTCTGTCAAGTAGCCCAATATGAATTAATTTTGCCATATGCCAAAAAAATAAAACACTGATCCAAAGGACCTACTCCCTCCACATCCCTGAAAACATATTATTTACTGATTGGGGATATACATGTACATGTAATTATCACTATATTCTTAATCATCATTATTTAAAAAAAATTATCTGTCATTTATGTTGTTGAACAGATCAATATAGTACATGTACCTCGATCAGCTGCTGATATCAACAGATATTTAAATTATAGTAATTGAGGTCCATTTTCTCTAAGATTAAGAATCACTATCAGGTCCAGCACAATACCCTGATAAAGGTATATAGCAGTGGCGGATCAAGAACTTCATGTGGGGGCCAGGTTTTGAGGCCCAAAGGGCCGAAGGGGGAGGGTATGGGAGGGGGTGTCCCCCTCCTATAAGTAGGAGTTCAGGGGGTCTCCCACCAAGAAAATTTTGTTTTAAATGGCTATATTATATAAATGGTGTGTTTTCAAGCATTTTGGACTACTTTTTGTAGCCTTTTTAAAACAAATATTTTTAAAGAATTTGGAAAAATAAAATGTTTCAAATCAATAAATATTTAACTTTAACATAAGACATCAGAATTTTCTTTGGAAAAAGTGTTAAATTTGACAATTTTAGGAATACAAGCAGCTGACTTCAAGTTATCTTCACTTCAATTATTAGTATGTCAAGCTGACTTCTATATTTAAGATACAATTGATGTAAAATTTTAAACACTTTAAGGTAGTCCGATCTTCAGGTTTATAAAATTAGCAGTTAGGTAATCAAAAACACACTTATACTTATTTGGTATTTTTTGTCTTTTATTTCCGCCATGTTTTCTATAATACATAGTGTAAAAGGGTTTTGCTATCATTGCAAGACATGTACACCACAAATCACTTCTTATTTCATAATATGCTAATAAGCTTTGGTATCTAAGGCTGCATGGATTCAAGAAAATCTTATTTCTCTAAAACTGTATCATTTTTTTCCTTTTATAGGGTACAAATGTCAACTTTTGTAAGACCATTTCTAAGACTTCCAAAAACCTTGAATCATATAAAGATGAATAAAATTAAAATTGTTGCACGAAAAAGAAAAATTTTCAAACTTCATTTTGAAATTAATGAAAATCAAATTAAATATTAATTTTTGGAGTTATCCTTCCTGGCTGAGGATCAGATATCCTTAAAAATTGAATTCTTTGTAGAATCCCTAACTAGTGCTCCTCAAGAGTATACTGTCAATATGATTTGCTAAGCCAATCTGATTTTGAAAAATTGTATATTTAATTTAATTTTTGTAAAATGGTAAAAAAAAAACAATAATAGTTTATTCACAATTTCCCATAGTCAAAAAAAAGAGAGCATTTTATCAGGATAAAAGAATGCTTGCAAGAATATTACTGAGCAGCACCATAACTATGCAGTTTTCTGTTGTTGGTACTTACAACATGTACTGTATAGTGTGTGCATGACCTTGTGACTTCACTAGATGCAATGACTACCCTGATCTATCTCTGTTGATTACCTGTGTATTGTGTGCATTCAAGCGGAAAGTGATTTCCTGTTATGTACATCGCTGCATTTCATTTCCAGAAATATGCATAGCATTTCCGACATTTTTTTTATTTCATTTCCGACATTTTTTGTTTTCATTTCCGACATAATTTATTTTTCATTTCCGGAATTTGCGGCAAATCAATGTTTTCTAATTAAAAGAAAATGGAATTTTAAAAGTATTAATGCCAAAATATAAATAAAATATTTAAAAAAAAACATCTATACATATATGCTTAAATGTTGCACTAAGTCTAGGTAAAAGAGTCTAATGAGCATAAAACTTTTTCACCAAATTTAATGTGCACTAAATTAAATGTCAGTGACAGCACCATACTTATGTTCAAGTCACTGATAGATTTACAAAATTGGATTTCAATGATTTATTTATGATTTATTTTTCTTTAAATTTTTCAAAAGCAAAGTTATCAAATTTGTTACTATATGTACTACTTATATATTTGAAAAATGTCGAAAATGAACACAAAAAAATGTCGGAAATGAAAAGTTGATAATTACCAAAAATTCCGAAAATTAAATGCAGCCATGTAGATGATGTGTAGGGTGTGTTTATTAGAGTCTTATCAATACAATAAAATGATAAAATAACACTTGTAAAAAAAAAAAAATCAATAAGTGGGGGGTGGGGGCCTGAACCCCAAACCCTCTTGAATCTGCCACTGTATAGCTTGATAAAGCTATATAGCTTGATTAAGGTACAGCTGTATTACCAATACCTTGATCAAGGTATTCTATGTAATGAAAATACGAAAAAAAATTAAAAAAAGATAAATACTCAAAGTCGAGCTCTGAGTTGTTGTCAATAAATTCAATCTTGCATGTTAAGTACTCAAACACAAAGAATTCAGTGTACAAGCATGTCGTGTGAGGAGACTTTCTTTTATGCTGTCTTTTGATACCTGAGTATTTTACATGCATGAGTGAACTCGACTTTGAGTATTTATTTTTTTTAGATTTTTTTTCGTTCTTTCATTTCATAAAATATCTTGATCAAGGTATTTGTAATACATTGATCAAGCTATTTAGCTTTATCAAGCTACTGTATATGCCTTTATCAGGTACCTGCCTATATGATATCAAGTTATTCTGCATGCTTATTTACTATTTAAAATAAGCTTAACATTTGGTATATATTTTAATAAAAATAGTATGGGGAACACTATCAGTCCAGTCCAATACGAAAAATCGTAATATTACAGAATATCGTAATATTATTCTTACATTACTATTTTTCGTAATATAGTTAAATTACGAAAACTCGTAATATAGCATGTTGTGAGAGACTATATTACGAGTTTTCGTAATGTAAGACAAATTAAGCATTGAAAAAAACTGAATGATGTGAAGGAAAGTATGACGTCAGATATACATTATGCCCCCATGGTACTAGTATCACGTGGTCATTTTGGTCAGTGACGTCTATCGAAAAGTATGAAAATGCAAGAAGAAAATAACAATAGTAATGGGTGAGTGAAAATTTTGTATTATTATTCTTATATAAGAATTTTCCCAGGGATGGGAACAATTTTCCATAAAACTTCAATGTATCCTAAAACTTGTCATAGTGTTCTATAATCCCCGAATTCCCTATATTTTTCCCGAAGTCTACCCTAAAAATCAGACCCTCATCTCCAACAACGAGATGTTATGGGATATAACTTGTACAACTTTCACTAGGCTCTGACTCTGCATGCACTTGGTTCAAATGCATCAAAACAAAGAAAAAGCATGCATATCCACGATGATTTGATGAAACCAGAGACGTATAATCTCTCATGAAACATAACAAGCAGGTTGTATCAGAAAAAAGGGAAGTAAATCTTAGAAGAGTTAGAAATTGCTTATATTACGAATTTTAGTAATATTACGATTTTTCGTATTGGACTGGACTGACTATCACACGTAAGGAATACAAATAGTCAAACAAATCCGTCTATTTACCATGAAAATCCTAGTAAACCTACTAAACGGTAAATCAAGTCTGTAAGCTGCACTTCAAATAGGAAACTCCTCAGTGAAAGTAAAAGAGAAAATAAATACGGAAAGAGACGAATATTCCAAAAAAAAAAAATAATAAAAAAAAAAAAAAAAACGCAGTATGTCAGTTTTTAAAAATCAACCCAAATACATTAAAATTGCTTTGTAAAATATGTCGAACAATTTATAAACAAACTTTGTAAAGTTTATTTTTACTCAACAATTATTCTTGCTAAAAATTTAAATCAATCCCTCACTTCAGTTCTAAAAATAGGACTTATTGGGGATTCCCAAAAACCTAATTAAAGTGCCTTACAACAATTTTTTCCCCGACTTTCTACTGGTATACGGTACATATATAAGTGAGTATTTTTTTTTATTTTACTCAGTGGATCTCTAGAAGCACAAGTTATAGTCCCTATCTTTGCAAACAATGACACGCACAAGGTAAAGTGAACATCATTTTATTTATGATGACCTAGATATCTGCAATTATTTTACATGTAGATTTATGCAAGCTATTTCACTTCCTTGCATTTTCATTTCGTGTTCTAAGAAAGAAGGGAGTTTATTCCCTCAATTGCAGAATAGTAGTGTAAATGCATCGAAGTTATTGAATAAAGGACCTGTAACACATTTGGCTTGGATATTAATTAGAACTTCGAATTCATCATAAAAATAAAAAAAAATACTGAACAATATAATAAGTAAAAACTCTTTTACTTCATCATCCTTGATAATTTGCCAATTTATTAATAAAGTAGTACTTATTCCGTCAAATTATGCCAAGGTATTTTATTTTAATTTTAACGAAACTTTTCTTTGATTTAGAAAATATCAAGAAATGAATTCAGCAAACACAAAATCCAAAATCCCTGAGGAAAATTTCAACAGCTTGGAAACGGATTGTCCCTTCCAAGTGCAAAGCGCAATTCGCGAAGACTCTGGATTTTTCTCGGAATCATTTAAAGAAAGTTTCAGTCCTGAAAAAGGAGACAAAAGAGGTTCACTGAAGGACATAGCAGAGCTGGAGGAAAACATGGAATGTGTTGATATTAACGACGATAGAGGCGCTCAGGAAATGATGAAGTCTGAGGAAAGCAAGCGCTCTGCAGAACTGGTTATGTCTGTCTTAGAACAGGATAAAGACGGCGATACCCAACTCCATATGGCAATTATTCAGGAAATGGACGACATTGCAATGATTATGATCTATTTAATTTCTAACATTGACCCAGAATTGTTGGATACTCCTAACTTGTTGTTGCAGACACCGTTACACTTAGCAGTTATTATAAGATCTAGAGAGCTGGTTGAACATCTTCTCCAGTCTGGAGCCGATCCAGGGTCACGTGATCTCCAAGGAAATACACCATTACATATCGCTTGTCATTATGGGTATGATGATCTAGTTTCTAGTTTCCTTAGATGTTCTAAGGACAGAAAAAATAAATTCAATTTGATAAAAGGAATAAATGACAGAAACTACGATGGTCAAACATGTCTTCATCTTTCAACATTCCATACGGGTCTTCCTGTTATCAAACTTTTAACGACGTTTGGAGCAGACGTTAACGCACGTGACGGAAAAAGCGGGAAAACAATATTACATTATGCTGCAGATAATGGAAATACAATTTTACTGGATTTCATTTTACAGTTACCAGATGTTGACGTAAATTGTCGGACATATGCTGGTCAGACTCCCTTAGCACTGGCAAGAGGAAGGGGGTATCAGGACATTTTATCAGCTCTGAGGAAATATGGCGGGAAAGAATATGACAATTTTGAGGACACTTGACGATCTTTATTGAAGAGGTTACTGAAATGAAAATATGCATAATTATGATGATTTTTGTTTTGTTTGACTGTTAATCATTTATAATTTATTAATCCTCTCAAATACACTTGAATGTTAGTCATGATATAATGCATGCATCACACTACAATGTAATGCCCTCTTTGTCTATGCAACATGTAGTTCATTCTTTTTTATGCTGAGTCAGCAATTACATTGTACTTGTATTATTAATGCAAAACAGTGAGATCAAATTAAATGTCTCCTTTAAAAACATTTACGTATTTTTGTTAAACCTGAATGATGACAAAGTTGAAATTTTTATACTGTATGCTAATCGTTTCCTACTTGTCTTTGAAAGTGCCATTTGATTCTCTGTGGATATTATAACCAAGATGTTTAAAAATAAAAGTATAAAATGATTTTTTGGGGTAATATTTCACTTTCATTACTTAGGTCACAGGCACCTGACGTTACTTACTTTTCTTTTAATAAAAAAAATATATACACATACCTAATAATATGTTTATTATTAGGTATGTGTGTATTTTTTTATTTAAAGAAAAATAAGTAACGTCAGGTGCCCATGACTTAGGTGTATTGGCCCCTGAAAAAATTGTGTCCATCTAAATTATAACTGATAAAATTAAACAACTTAGCTAATTTATATGTGTGAAAAGAGGCCGGGTTGAAGAACAAACGGATATATATATACAGAATACAAAAATTTATATATTGATGGATATTTCTGATTTTGAATGAAAATGATTTATAAAATCGCTAAAAATTGGGTAGGATTTCTTTGGTGTTCAAATTTGGGGTTGTGTCATAATGGCCCCTGAAAAATTGTGTCATCTAAATTATAACTGATAAAATAAAACAACTTAGCTAATTTATATGTGTGAAAAGAGGCCGGGTTGAAGAACAAAAGGATATATATACAGAATACAAAAATTTATATATTGATGAATATTTCTGATTTTGAATGAAAATGATAAATAAAATCGCTAAAAATTGGGTAGGATTTCTTTGGTGTTCAAATTTGGGGTTGTGTCATAATATTTTTATAATTTCTTGCTATTTTTGAGATATTCATGATCTTATATTTCCACACTTTCTTTGGCAACGTAAATTCAAGGTTTTTATATGAACACACATCACAGAATAAGATAGGTATACTAGCATTGATAATTTCTAGAAATAAATACGATATTTATCCTATATAAATATGCAAAGAGTAGCATTCTTATGTTCATTTTCATTCAGTTTTCATCGATTTTACAGCACATTTTGTTTCACAAAATATAGACCACAAGCTTGCCTACTATAGTATCTGCCAAATTTATATTTACCATACATTTATGTCTGATGCATCTTATGTATAAAAAATTTAGACAGGCAAGCTTGTGCTCTACGTTTTCCGAAGTGAAAACTATTTCAAAACGAATTCCAACAGAATTGAGAACATTTAAGAAAATGCCCCACTTCCGCCCCTTCTTGCGGCCTCTGTATAAGTTTTGAATCAAAATTAGTACATGTACTGGTTTTAAAACGAGCATCAAGCATCATTTTAAGTTCTTAACTACAAACTATCACAATTTTAACTGTGTACTCAAGATTTTACATCAAATAAGGGGCCATATTCGGCTGTTGCCATACCTTGACCTTTAAAAAAGTTTTAAAAACTGAGCTGATATTATTTACTTTGAAAATGAAATCTACAAATTTTTATAGATACTCACGATGTCATACCTAACGTTTGCAATTTATATTATGAAGTTCAGCATGAAAAATTAATATTGGAAGAACAAATATATATATAAGGAAAAATGAAAGATATTAAATTAATATATTTTTTCCAGAAAAAAAAAATATTTATTTTCAATCAATTAAATTATGAATCATTATCCGTCAGTCTTAAAACTGTCATTAAAATAATCTGTGTAAGTTAAAAATGAAAACTTTTCATTACAACTAAACTTCTCATAAATTGATAGGTAAAACTGGTTAAAATATCCATATGAAAATATATAAATATACCTTGTAACCAGTTTTCATTCTGTTATATATTTAGGTGTTTTATTGTTTGTATAACTTGGGGATTTTTCAGAATGCGGAAGATTTTGGGGCAGGTATTGCGTTTAAATTAACTTTTAAAAGGAAGTCTGGTAAGAAATAATAAAGAATACATGTATAATTTTAAAATCCAGGATTTAAAAGGGAGTAAACTAAAATGCTTCAGTAATACTCTAATTGCATAAAATTAGTTTTCCCCTGCGTATGCAGAACTAATATCTTATTCTGATTTACTGTAATAAATGGGCTCTACAAGAGTCCCATGACCACATCGCTTACCTGAGAAACTTTGGCCATGCTGTTCTTTAACAGATTTCTCCCTTGTTATACCGATTGTGACCCCTCCCTAACCCAGGGGTCATGATTCGAACAATGTAGAATCTACACTACCCCAAGATTCTTCCACATTAGTTTCAGCTCGTCTGGTTTAGTAGTTCTGGATGAGAAGATTTTCAAGGATTTTACCTATATATTTCAATGTAAAACTTGGATTCCCTATAGTGACCCCGCCCGACTCCTTGGGTACCCATGATTTTAACAAATTATAATCTACTCTAACCCAGGATGCTTTCAAATAAGTTTCAGCTTTTCTGGCCGAGTGGTTCTTGAGAAGAAGACTTTTGAATGACCCCACCCTATTTTTGTTTTTTCCATCTCCCCTTGCAAGGGGCGTGGCTTTTCACTTAAACAATTTAAGGGGGCGATTGTTGTTTCCATTGCGCAATATTTCGCGCATCATAGTAAAACGAAGCGTATTTACTGTTTTAATGCAAGTTTTTCCGCTTAATTATTAAAATTAAACAAAATTAAGAAATTATAGGTATGAAAATATAATTACAATTTTATATAACTGATTTTTAACCGATTTTGTAATTGATAGGTAGGTTGACGTCGTTACAGTGATTTTTTGACGTTATGATAAACTGAAGCTCTTAAAGAAAGGGGTAATTAAAATGTTATTAAAGAAAAAGTAATAGACATACACTCTTGAAATTCAAAACATAAAAATTTGAGAATATCTACATTATTTTTATTATGTTTTCAAATGAATCATTTGTGCCCGTAATATTTTGTAGTACTCTATAAAAACACGAAAATTCGTTGATTTTTGGCATTTTGAGATGTCCCATCTGGTAACAAGACGGTAGAATTTTGTGTTTCTTTCATATATTGTATAATATAGTATTACAATCAAATATTAAAGTTTGAACAAAAAGTCTATTGTAGTATTTGTAAAATTTGCTTTAAAGTGCTAAAAATTGGCATTTTCCTATATAATCCTATAGTAAATGTACCTGTATTTTGAGACGGTCCCTCAAAAATACCTGGACGGTAGATTTCCCCCAAACTTTGCATGATTTAAGTTATAAATGGTATAAAAATGAAGAGTTTCGCTATTGTAGTTTTCACACAATAAAACCGCAGTCGGCCCCCTTAAGCTTCTGCTTTTGTATCAAGTTTGATTAAAATTGACCAAGTGATTCTTGAACAGAATTAAAAATGTCAAAGGTTAATATAGAGACAGACAACGGGTGATCAGAAAAGCGCACTTGAGCTTTCAGCTCAGGTGAGCTAATAATAATAGATTAAATCTATAAATACCGAGAAAGAAACTGCATAATGAAAATCACGTGTCATACTGTTTCATCATACTTATTTATATCACGAGGTATGCTTGTGAATACATTAAATTGGGATGATTTGTAATGGAATACCATGTCATAGAGCTTTTCAGAAAACACATATAATATGACCTATTGATTTATTTTTGAACATATTTTGTTTGTAAATGATTGAAAAAATAAAATTCTGTTTACCATTACATCTTTTGCAAACTTCATTAATAATCTATACATTTTTTGTCACTTAACCTCCGATTACTGTGAAATTTTATAGCGAGAAATTTATGAAGTTAAATATTTTTCATTGATTTATGTTCTAGATAGTTGTTATGTTCAAGTTTTAAAACTTTGTATGTATTACCTCTAAAAGTATATATCTGAAATATTTTTATCTTCACACAATATAATTATACCGACATAAGCAGTTAAAAAAGGCTTAAGTTTGATTTATGATTTGTCAACATCTTCAATGTGATTCTGTCAATTTTTAAAACGTTCTAAAGATAGTAGTTTTTCGTGGAACTTATTTGCTTTCGGAAAATCATCACCCATGAAAGAAATTCTTTGAAAATTTTGCGGAAGAAAATGTAGAATACACAAGCAATTAAAGTAAATTATACAATATCATGAAAATATATTTACATGTACTTATAAATCTTTTGTGATTGATCACTAAACTATAACCCATCTTATTGCCCTTTAATCCTTCAAATTAAAGCAAGGAATTTTATATATAGTACATTAAGTATAATTTCATCCATATGTGTAGAACTCCATGTGGAAATTTACTTGAAAATGACGAGTTTCAATAATTGATTTTCTTTTCTTCTCATTTTCTTCTTTGCTTTTCAAAAAAGAGTGAATTAAAAATCCAAAAGTTTATCAGATCACACATGCAAACGTAATCACACCCATATAAAGGAATAAATTAAAATCAAGTCTCATTTTTGATCAGCGATATAAAATCTCCATAAACTCTTCTTGCCGAAAGGAAAGTCGAATCACCCCTATGAAATGGTACATAATGATATCGCCATATCGGAAAGAGATTTCGGGCCCGTAGGTAGCATTTTCAGCTGGGGAAGGGGGGACACAGCTATAAATTTTCAGGTGGGGACACTTTCAACTGCCAAAAATTCCTTAATTGAAGAGCTAAAAAAGGTCAACAGACGTTTTTATTGAGGGGACACTAGCATATAGTAGCCATGTTTTCTATTGAATACTTTATATCAGCAATGTTATGGGGGGGGGGGGGGGGTTACATAATATACACCTGAGGGATATTGATATTTATATAATTTACTTGCTCAAATATTATAGATAGATATGGATTTATGCATTTTCACTTTATGATCAAAAGAGCCCCTTCATATAACACCAGAATCCTGACCCTGGGATTCAGTCATGCAGACAGTTCAAGTCAATTCCAGCAGCTACTGCCAGTTTCCCGTATTAATTGCAATAATGATGTTTGCCCTCTCCTGACTGAAGGTAAAAATTGGGGTCATTATGTAGAGGGGAACTTTTCCTCTGAATATTTTCAACATCAATGCTGAATTTTTAGTATTTTCTGAAATGCATAAAAAATAATTGTTTCCCGAAGGAAAAACATTAATTTTGAGTCTGGCCATTTTTTAGCCAGTGGACCAGGGGCCCGTTTTACAAAGGGACTTACGATTTAAGACCAAATTTAATTCTTCATATAACTTTTTAATAAACATTAA